ACCCACAATTGTGAGGCCATCTGAGTCCTGTGAGTCCGTCCATTAGGTCACTGAACAAATTAATAATCAAGGGGCCCTCACACAAAACAATTTATTCATTGCTTACCATGTTTCTTTCCCCGAGTAGAAGAACATAGGCTCCTCAGGGCAGGGATTTAAAAATCTCTTTAGTGAGCGTTAAGCCTAACAGTTAAGATCATCACTTCCCTGAGTCTGAATTCTTGAGTCAGATACCCAGTTCTGGCTCCTGACTCCAGCTTCCTGCCAATGTAGACCCTTGGAGGCAGCAGGGATGCTTGGTGAATGGGTTCCTGGGACCCATGTGGGAGACATGGATCGCATTGCAACTCCTGGTTCTTGCCTCCCCAACCACATCATTGACATTCACAGGAGTGAACTAGAAGATAGGAGTGCACTCTCTTGCACAAGTGTGCTCTCTCCCCTCTCTCACTCTCTGCCTCCCAAATAAATAATATTTTTACGTGAAGATCCCTTTAGCTCATTGATATATCCCCAATGCCCAGAAGAATGTCACCACACAACAGGCATTCAAAAGCAGTTGAATGAATAAATGAGGAATACAGCAAATATTATCCAATTAAATATATTTATTTTAATAAATAAAAAGGTATCAGTTTATACTCCCCAAAAAATCTTTAAGAGGACATTTCATCTATAAAGAGAGAACACTATTCCATGAGGAAAAACTGCTCTGAAATGAAAGGCACATGCTGCATTACAAATATTATGATAAAGCAAAAGGCTGATTTCATACTGCAAAAATATCACAAATGTGAGTCATATCAGCTAAAAAAATTGTCTTCAAACTCAGAGAAAATCTAGAAAAAAAGTGAATATAGTAAGTTACATTTCAAAACTCAAAATCAAAAACATCCAACGAGGAAAAGTCCAGTTATCCACACTACACATAGTAGGTTCAAAATAAGTAAGTGTTGAATGAATTCAGTGAAATAGAAGAAAAATCAGATTGGTATCAATATCCCTGCTTCAACTATCAAAGCAATTGAAATATTTTAGAAGAAAAGATACTGACACAAGAATTCAACAAGCAGCCAGCGCTGTGGCGTAGCAGGTAAAGCTGCCTCCCACAGTGCCAGCATCCCACGTGGGCACTGGTTCATGTCCCAGCTGCTCCTCTTCCAATCCAGCTCTCTGCTATGGCCTGGGAAAGCAGTGAAAGATGGACCAAGCACTTGGGCCCCTGCACCCACATGGGAGTCCCGGAAGAAGCTCTTGACTCCTGGCTTCAGATCAGCCCAGCTCTGGGCATTGGGACCACTTGGGGAGTGAATCAGCAGATGGAAGACTCTCTCTCTCTCTCTCTCTCTCTCTCCCCCCCTCTCTGTGTCTGTAACTCTGCCTCTCAAATAAATAAATACATCTTTAGAAAAAAAAATAACTCAACAATCAAGAAATCATATACCAGGGCAACAAAAAGACATTCCCAAGCCGGCGCCGTGGCTCAATAGGCTAATCCTCCACCTTGCGGCGCCGGCACACCGGGTTCTAGTCCCGGTTGGGGCGCCGGATTCTGTCCCGGTTGCCCCTCTTCCAGGCCAGCTCTCTGCTATGGCCAGGGAGTGCAGTGGAGGATGGCCCAGGTGCTTGGGCCCTGCACCCCATGGGAGACCAGGAAAAGCACCTGGCTCCTGGCTCCTGCCAGGATCAGCGCGGTGCGCCGGCTGCAGCGGCGGCCATTGGAGGGTGAACCAGCGGCAAAGGAAGACCTTTCTCTCTCTGTCTCTCTCTCTCACTGTCACTCTGCCTGTCGGAAGAAAAAAAAAAAAACGAAAAGACTTAATACAT